TTTTTTTTTTTTTTGTTCCAAAGAAAAGGGAAGAACCACATGATTATCAACATTGTAAGTGGGGGGTGGGGGTGGGGGGAGGGAAACTTGCTCAAGGTGTTCCAACTTTTTCATCTGGGATATCAGCCGGTCTTGTTTTGCTACAGTGACTATTTTTTATTTTGTCTGTGAACAGACCCATCATAGACACATAATAGACCATTAATTGCAATATATTTATCACTATCATGTTTCATCTCTAAATTACTTTATCCACAAGCTGACCCTGGGTATTCTTTGATTTTTCCTTGTGTAGCGCAGAGACTGGCTTCAGGAGAGTTGGACCTACAGGATATAAATCACGCTTGCTCAAGTTTAATGATGAGGTAAAGATAATATTATTTCTTCTTGGTCATTTTCTGCTCTTTAGTCAGTTTAGAATTCTTATAGTGATTATACCTTTCCTTCAATGTGAATCTTGGGTATAAGGTCAAAATAGATAATTGATGCTTCTTTAATAATAACAAGATAATATAATAATAATAATAATAATAATAATTGTATAATATAATAATAATATAATAATATAGCAACAGTAATAATATTATTGAGGGGCAGCAGCTAGGGTGAATCACTGTAAAATTTAAGGCATTCCCTGGCTAAAAATATTCTTAAAACCATTCTCAATAAGCCATTCAAAAGGCCCCCACTGGAGTTCCTGGCTCCAAAGTCATGACAAGCATTAGATTTATAAGCTGATGTTGTTTTCAAAATTCCTTGTTCTAACTGTTCATTGAGTTATGTAAGTGAAACAGTAGGTCTTTTGTTGAGTGGAAAATAGAGCAATTATAGGGAACATTAAAACAGTGGCCAAAGGTATCAGTTTTGCAAATCCTGCATGGTCTTGTGACCATATCATTGATTTTAATAGTGCTTCTAACATTGGCATTTATCACATTAGAAGGTTTGTTCTTGGAATCTCAACATACCATGACAACACCCAATGCAGGCCATAACTCTTGTCCACTGCCAGGACAATACATGTACAGCACTCTTTTTAGCAAAATATCTGGCATGCATGTTCATTTCAATAATTTTATTCTATTGTATTCCTTTTTTATTACACCCTATATTAGAATTTGTAGTACCTCAGGCTCTTCAGCATTTAACCTGTTGAACACTGCAGTTTATGCCTTCAAAAGCTTTTGTTTTTAACCGAAGAATCTTTTAAATGTTACTGGATAATTTTTCCCTAGTTAAGTTAATTTTATTCACTGTTTAATTTTACATTTTGTGGCAAATTTAAATGGTTGGTTGTTGGTACAACTCACTCAGCAACGAACCAACCAGTTTTGTTTAATTTAGAATTAAACAATTTAAAAACTAGAAAATGTATCAAATTTATAAATTAACTCATGCCTCTGATACATGTATATTGTTAAATTCTAGTACACTTCTCCATCTGTGGACATGTACAAGTTCTTAGTATGACAATTGAATTAGGTTCATGTAATTATATCTCCCATTCCAGATAGTGGAACAGACAGCTTTGTCCTGTGTAGAAATAAGTTTTATCATTGTTGTGCTTTTCAATGCATGCCACATTTCGTAAAATGTTCAGCTTATTTTGGCCCAGGCAGCCTAAAGAAAGAGCAAGAATTAAGCATGTAGTATTAAAGTGCTATTTGCAATTGGTAAATGGCGTTTTAAATCTTCCTGGAATTCTATGTGATATATCTAAACATTAAAGGGGTTAAAATTTGATCATAGTACCTCTTAGATTGGGTCTCTTTTTGGGAGTCACTAGATTAAACAGGGGGTGTCAAAGGATTAGCAAAAAGAAATGTCAAGCCATTTGAGAAAGGACAAGAAAAATTATACAACTAATAGCAACAAACAGCAATAAACGGTAAGGAATGAACTGCAGTACTCCTCATATCAAAATAGTTTGGAACAGCAATCACTTTAAAATAGAAAGATATTACCAAAATGCACAATGCTGGATTACCAAAATTGAAGACTCTTTTCTAGGTTACAATTCTGCAGCAAGTTCAAAATTAAAGCAAATTTCTCAAATTACTGTGGTCTATGCCATGTAAAAGTGGATCAATATTCTCAAAGGAAATGTTACTTCACCGAGATAATGTAGCAAAGTAATGCTAGAAATAACATCAAGCATAATGCACTGTTCTAAATAAGTAAGTAATGTGACGTGTTGATAAATTGTAAGCAATCTGGTGTTATTTTTTTATTTTTTATTTTTTTTATTT